TTTATGATTATTTAGGCCGCAAATTACGAATCTGGTATCAGAATTGCAAAATTCAAAATGGCGGATCCAATATGGCCGACATGTATATTAAAAAGTATTAAATTATTATGAATTTTTTATGAAATAGGATTTCTAGGTTTATAGGTCAACATAGTTAGAATACATTGGCAGAAATAACAATAATAAATTAATGTTAATTTATGATGTATTAATTTATGGTTCATTAATTTATTAATTAATGGATGGTTTTCGGCCATCCGGACTACTGTACGACGTTTCGTGCGCTTGTCACACAAGAGCTCCCCCAATGCTAATTTATTCAATATTTCCATCATTTGCTGCCCTTGGATCCTCTGCCCTTCCTCTTTCGGTAGTATAGTAGCAGTATTTTCTTTTCTGCATAACACAAATCTCGAAACGTTGATCCAATATTCTCGTGCAGGGACGCGACAAAGCCTGGGTGGAGGACCCGCCCGAGAAGGTGCTATACAAGTCCCAGTACGCCGACGCAACGCAGGAAGAACAGGGCGCGGGTACTTACATCTTCATAGGGCTGTGCTGCGTATTCGTGACGGCGGTGATCGGTTGCATCTACGAGGTATGGCGAAGCGCGAGGAAGGATCGCCGCAACAGCAGAAGAGCGTCGGTGGTATCGGGGACGTCCACGGCGGCGACGTCCAGCTCTCAACGATGGCAGTCGCCGCAGTACGCGGAATCGGTAACGACTGGGGTGAAAACGGTGGGCTTCAAGAACGTGAACGAAGACGAGATGAGACCTAACGGTACGCACATGAAGCCAACGAAAGAGTACAAACCAGTGCCCAACGCGGAGTCGAAAGACTCAGTTAACGATAAAAGGGTACATATCAAAGGTAGGTTCAGTCAAGTTTGAGATTTGACTTGATGCTATAGGGGGAGGAAACGAGTCGGTGTGTTCTGGATGCGGTGCTCCTTTGTGTTCTTAACATACCTATCAGAGTCGACTAACCACTCGAGACCAGGTGGTCGTCTCTACTGCGAGTCGTGACCTTTGACTGCACCGCCATCTTCCACGTACGGCTGTTGACGAAAGTGTGGAACTCTCTTTCAGGAGTTTGTTAATTATCATCGTTTCCATTGCGTTTGTTCCTTGATACGCGACAGTGGAAACCCTCGATTTCCCCTTTGGTTAAAGATTGAATTCTTGTTTAAATTGTTTATGAAATAACGTTTGTTTCTGTCTTACAGCAGATGAGGAACCAGAGAAGAAGGAGCTCCTAGGGGTAAATACAGGCATCATCACTAAACCTCCGAAACCAAATCCATTCGTAAAGATTTTTTCTTTTTTTTATAAAAATTACATATTAAGGCCCAAGCAGCTTGCAAAAGGGACCACGACTACAATCGTTGCCCCCTAGACCAGAACTAATTTATATACTTGAACAAATTTTATAATCGAGATGACTTTGTAGACGCGCGTCCACTTTGTAAGCTCGCTTTGAAAATTTCTGCAAGACTCTGAAATAAACACGAACCACCTAACAAATGTACTGAACGTTAACTTGATTTACATACCAAGTCTTGCTGCAAGATTTCAATTAAAACGAAACAGTGCATGCAAATTTAAATTTACACATTTATACCTGGCAATGGATACAGAAAAAGAAACAATATATAAACATTTTTATTCTATCTAGCTTGTTATTGAGTGAAGAAGACTGTTGTCTAACGAAAACGATTTATAAATTTAATTAAAAAAATATATTTTGTAACGCAGACTCTTTACACGTCACATTATAAATGGTACAATAATATAGTACAAAGTGAATAATATCGAACCTAACATGCCACTAAACGATTCAACTAATTCTGTTGCAGTCTATGGAGGACCTCCAAGAGGAACCTGAACTAGAGGAATGCGAAGAAGAGGAGGCAGGCGAGGAATACGAAGACGAAGAGGACGAAGAGGACGACACGAAATTGCAGAACCAAGACGAGGAGGAGGATCAACCGAAAACAGAAATTACAGACGACAAAGATTTCGCGAAGTCGGTAAGAAAAATATCGACGAGTTACTCCTTGAATAGATAGATCCTTTCTGCGAACAATATTTATCATTAAGCCAAGATCACGCTCGATTTTATCATCGCTTTTGTTATTCAAGGACTGACTAAATTCCACGTGCAAATATACAGCGAATGTAGAATGTATTCGTACACCGATCAATTTCCCAAAACACTTTTGTGTGAAATTGTAGTTTCTTAACTTCTTTTTTTTATAATCAATGATATTTTACATATTCTCAGAAGTCTCTAAAATAGATATAGACCAGACAACATTTACTAGTTAATATAATTTGTGAAATTAACAAAAAAAAATGCGAAAAGTGGGTAAAAGTATAGAAGCAACAAGTATTTGTACGATTCTTATGACGAACAATTTACAGTAGAGTTTGTAACGTAAACACATTAGTTTATTGCTCCGTACGAATCAGAAAACATCAAATTTCCAGAAAAGTATTTTTAAAAATGGCTCCAATAGGGGAATTGAAGAAGATCCTACTTCGAATAATTAATAACTTAGTTAATTTAACGCTTAGAAGAGTTGCAATAATTATAAAATCAAAAGGAAATCTCACGAAGGAAATATTATATACTTGTGCATTAATGTAAATTTCTTTTTTCTTTAATCAAGTTATAAGAATTAAACAGTTGTGCAAATACTTGTTGCTTCAACATTTCTATCGATTAATTGTTTTTTTCTTGTTAATTTCGCAACCTACATAAATACCTATTTTTTTGTAATCTATCTATTCTAGAGATTTCCGAGAGTATGTAGAGTGTTATTGTTTATATAAAATAAGTTAATAAATTACAATTTTACACAGTTTCTTTGGAAATTGATCGGTGTACGAATACTTTCTACACCCACTGTACATAATTATACGTTGCATAAATAAATACTCGACTGTAATGTGACATCACTGTCAATCATTCTCACTATCACTCGTTCATGTTTACTTTGTCGTCTTTGTATGAGTACGTTTTCTGTTGTTATTTTTTGTTTTTTTTTTTTTGTACGATAAATATGCAATATTGATTATGTTATACAAACGGCGAATAAAATATCCTTAGGGAAAAATCAAAATTGACGCGTTGTGAGATCTTGCTCCTCGAAAATCCACGAAACACGATCTCGCGAATGAAATTCATTCGTCAGATGTAAGAGATTAGGTCGAGAAATTTCGAAAGTACGAGGCGTGGCGAACGTAATCGAAACGTGTGATACTTTCAGCCGGAAAATTCGTCTAGGATAAGTGTCGAGGGAAGCGTCGAATCGTTAAGAACCAGTCCCGAACACGATGACACGAATAGGCACGACGAAATCTAGAGGTATTGCCGTTAGAATCGAACCGAACTATGTTGGCCGCTCAGGGTCACTCCCCTCCACCGTCAGAAATTTGATTCGAGTAATAGCGGTGACCTTGAGAGGTCAAAAAGCTTGTTGCATTCGCGTTCTTTCTCTTGCTTTTTGATTTCGTTCGATTGAAAATTTTTATTGCATGGTTATATGTCAAAAGAAACAAAAAACTTAAGCAATCTTGACGAAATGAAGATATTTTTGACACATTTATTAGGTACAAAGCTTGTCAACATTATCCAAGTAGTGCAATCGAGAAATAATAAACGATTAGTGATGATACGAATAGTGCATCAATCAATATTGCATGAATCTGAAATGAATGCATCTCAACTGCACGCTGCATTAAAATTCTCCTTTTGAAAGACACCTTATTTTATAATTTCTGCATCACCTCCACCTTCTTCTTTTTTTAACAATAAAAAAGCCAATTCTATATCTTCACCCTCTTTAAAAAAGAATTTTCACCTTATTTAGGCAAACACGCACATTGTTAACAACAAACAACGATCGACAATCAAAGATACGTCTCCAGGTCGGTACGACTGAATGAATAATTTATTCTAAACAAAAATTACACACCCAAGCATTATGTCTAATTGCTGACAAACATGTAAGCCTGTATGTGTAATCTTTTAGATCCTGCGAGGCCTTTGATTCTCAATCTGCAACCAATCTATCTATCGGACGATCTGAGAACCTTTGGAAGTCCACTCAACTATCTTGGTGCACCGAAATTTCAACCGAGAAACAGGAACTCTATAGAATCAGTATTATCCCTGGACTAATCATTAATTCCCAGCGGAATAATTACACGAAATCTTTTCTACTTTCACGGACAATCAACGCTAATACAAAGGACAAGGATGAACAACCTTAATTCATTGTTACCGAGAATTTGAACAGATGTATTCAAATAAGGAAACTTTTTGAAACTGTGAGCGCACGATATACGAGAACGAATTTCTAGAATAATTGTTTTAACATAGTCTCGAAACTTGCAATGGCAAGATTATAATATTAGCGATAGATGATGCATACATTTCGAGTATGAAAATGTAGATTGAGATCATCAACGTGATTCTTTTCGTACTGAACGTCCATCGAGAGAGGTACTCGTTCACATTTCACGCGATTATCGAAAGAAAATAATAAAATTATTTCTGATACGTTTCATGGGTTTGACGTTGGATTCATTCGGACATTTCCTATACATGTTATCTACTTTAAATCATTATAATTAAAAGAATTATATTCTCTTGTTCCTGGAGCCCTCGAGAAACCCTTCCCGCCTAGTCAAAACAAAACTCATTAGTAACTAATGAGTAACACTTATAAATACGTACCATGTATTCCTCGTGCCACCTCTTCGCATATCATGTTCTCCTGATACAAAAGGTAAGTTTCGAGCCAAAATTAAAAACTATGATACCTCTTTGCACATCACGTTCTCCTGATACAAGAGGTAAGTCTCGATATCTAATTAAAAGTTATGTCACCTCTTCGCCTATCATGTTCTCCTGATACCAGGAGTAAAAATCCAGCCAGAATTTGATACATACCAAAGTTTCCTCGTGCCACCTCCTCGCATATCATGTTCTCCTGATACCAGGAGTAAAAATCCGACATTTCCCATCACAATTTTCAGAGAAGCGATTTGCAACATTGTTGAAGTTTGGAGACGAGCGATTTGCAACATTGCTGACTTTGCAAAATTGGCCAGAATTCCGAAATGTACCGAAAACTGTGCCCCTTAAATTAGGCAACTTCTGCCTACACATACGCCGGGCCGGTTGCCTGCTCGTAGGCGCAAACGTGCCACCTCTTCGCATATCATGTGCTCCTGATACCAAAATCTAAAATCGGCCAGAATTCCCAAACTTACCGAAAACTGTGCCCCTTGAATTAGGCAACCTCTGCCTACACATACGTCGGGCCGGCTGCCTGCTCGTAGGCGCAAACGTGCCACCTCTTTGCATATCATGTGCTCCTGATACCAGGAGTAAAAATCCGACATTTCCCATCACAATTTTGAGATCAGCGATTTGCAACATTGTTGAAGTTTGGAGACGAGCGATTTGCAACATTGTTGCGTTTGCAACATTGTTGAAGTTTAGAGATGAGCGATCAGCAACATTGTTGAAGTTTGGAGACGAACGATTTGCAACATTGTTGCGTTTGCAACATTGTTGAAGTTTGGAGATGAGCAATTTGCAACATTGTTGCGTTTGCAACATTGTTGAAGTTTGTAGATGAGCGATTAGCAACATTGTTGAAGTTTGGAGATGAGCGATTTGCAACATTGTTGAAGTTTCTAGAGGAGCGATTTGCAACATTGTTGACTTTGCAAAATTGGCCAGAATTCCGAAATGTACCGAAAACTGTGCCCCTTGAATTAGGCAACCTTTGTCTACACATATGTCGGGCCGGTTGCCTGCTTGTAGCCGCAAACGTGCCACCTCTTCGCATATCATGTACTCCTGATACCAAAATCCAAAATCGGCCAGGATTCTCAAACTTACCGAAAAATGAGCCCCTTGAATTAGGCAACCTCTGCTTATACATATGTCGGTCCGGTTGCCTGCTCGTAGGCGCAAACGTGCCACCTCTTCGCATATCATGTGCTCCTGATACCAAAATCCATAATCGGCCAGAATTCCCATACTTACCGAAAAATGAGACCCTTAAATTAGGCAACCTTTGCTTACACATATGTCGGGCCTGTTGCCTGCTCGTAGGTGCAAACGTGCCACATCTTCGCATATCATGTGCTCCTGATACCAAAATGTAAAATGGAACGATCTGAACATTTTTGACCAAACCAGCTTGAGCAATGACACTCATGTAAAAAGTAGTTGCTCAATTATTTGAACAGTTTATATAGGGAAAGTCATTTTTTTTTTATTTTAAAAACTCTTTATTGTTAAAACTTACATTTTGTAAATATATTCTTACAACATGTAGAGGTACCTAATAGGAACATTTGGTAATAATCATTAGATTAGATTCTAAGTGTGCTGTCATAATGTATAAAGTAATTGATTTGGACATTGTAAAAGTGATCACAGTTTTAAGTTATTTTGTAACATAAATTTGTCGATGATTTTGACTTTAAGGATCGAAATGTCAGATCCTTTCAGGAACATATCTATTGTATATGGTGGATTCAGACCTCTCGCTTTTCATTGATGCAGCATTTCTTTTCTGTACGTTTGTATGCATGGACAGTCCCAGAGAACGTGGTTTATGTCTTCCTATAGATAGAGCACGAGTAGCGCCATCGGTGGGAAGACGCCCAAGCTTGTACTGACGATAATTCGTAACAATACCATAAGATGGCGCCACCGACGCCTTTAATCAGTAATATTTTATTGAACATAATTGGATTATTAATACGATTCTGTACATTATAACACTACAATATATTACTTCGTATGTCAAAGAAATCATTTTTTTGAGTAGTTATTTAAGAGAACAATAAACATCGATCGTTTGTTATAGTGGCGCCATCGGTGGCAAAAGGCCCAAGTTTGTATTGAAAGTAGTTCCCTCAGTTGCTAGTAGATGGCGCTGTGCTAGACTATTGATATTTATTGCTCTACTAAATAAGTACTGAAAAAA